TGAGGCGTTCAGGGTAGCAACTGTTTCAGTCTTTGTTGTTGCAAAATTTTCTGTTGAATACTTAGAGAAACACTTGGAGGAGTGACTCAATGATGGGAAGAAATTACAAAACCTTTGCTTGAGCATAATTCATCTTTTTTCATAACACTACATGCATAACATAAACCATGGTAGACTTTTAAACTGCAGCGTCTTTATTGTTCTGATACATTTAGGTTTGTTTTTGGGAGGATTTAGAAGAATCCATTTCTTCTGTTGTTCAGTAAAGTATCTTAATTATTAGACAATGAAGTAACATTGTCTATTCAAATACGGTTAAAATATTATGAAAAGATGTTAACAGACAAGACCTCTCTAAGATGTTTGGTCACTTTACAAATATTTGAATAATTCTTAATTTTATAATCTAATTTGTGATTTTTTTTAAATTTGATTCAAAACTTTTTAATTTAAAACATTTCCAATTAATAATTTTGATGAATAATTTAATCAAACAATTTTACTTGAATAGTTTGATTAAATTCTTTGTTAAACTATAACTTAGCTTAATTTTCTCCTGTCAGTCAGTAAAACATCTTATTTTACGAAACTTTTTTTAAATGTCTTCCTGCGCTGCTCTTCTCCTTTAACAGGCCACTTGGCTCCACTTTGAAACCGCTTAACTAGAGCACTGACAATTAAATCAGCCGAAAATTAAATCAAGACTTTTAAGATGTCTCCTCTTAATCTAATTGTTTTCATTTAACACAAGTGATCCAAATTGCTTTGATGCAAATCCTAAACATCATTTATGATATTTTAATCAGTTTTTGGCATTAATTCAATGTTTGTTGGCCTAATTTTGCAGTTTGCTTGTATTTTCACCAGTTTTATTGTAATGTGAAAATCAGATTGATATGGTGATTGATTTCAAAGATAATATTGGACTCTAAAGGGTCAGATTTGTCACAAATAAACCTGCAGTTTTCAGTGCTTTGGCACCAACATGCAGTGGAATATACTCATTGAGTTTGGTCGTTTTATAAAAGCAACTTGATATTTTGGATTCAACAGGAGCTAAAGTTGGGCAAATATGATGGAGGTGCAAAATTTTGGATCAGCTGACTTTTTTTTTACACACTATATTGCATCAGACTTTTTAATAAAGTAGTTTTTCTTAATCATTTTTAGGATAATTTGTAAAATAAAACTTTGATATGGATTTTAAGGTATACTGTTTAGTGAAATAATACACCACCGGGGTTTCACCTCACTACTAGTGGAGTATGATCAACACAACAAAGGAAATGTATTTCATGCTGTTTAATATTTCTATATTTTATTGTAATAAAATTAGAATTTACTGAGCACATGAGAGTATCATCATCTATTTAAACAAACTGGAGTCCATCAAAAAATGGTCTAAACCAATAAAAGATTGTTCCTGTGATCCGTACAACATGCTCTGGATTCAGTGATATAATATGATTAAAAAAAATGCATCACTGAGCTCTACCAGCACCAGTATTGACTCCAGTCTGAAGCCATCTTTAGATTATTCAGATTTCTACAATCTTTACTGTAAGGTTTAATTTTTAATCACCTGAACTGTAAATGTTTGGGTGGAATTTGACTATCGAAGAAACGCAGCTCTGTGACGAGGCTCTGTGGCTTCTGAAACCGGAGTGACTGGTTTCAGGGATGTAAAATAGTTTAATTTTTCTTTTTTTTTTTGAGGCAAACAGTTGGACAGGTTTCAGTGGGAGGATGAAAGACGGTGATTAACTCCATTACGAATCACTACAGCACATCAAGAGCAGTTTACTTTAATCTTTCACTCATTTTCACCTTTTTTATAACCAGATTCATGTCTAAGGTTTTACACCAACCCACATCTCAAGAATCTCTGAGTTTCTTTACAATTTATATTTATTGCTGTCAGATCCTTTTCCATTTGATATTAAACTCTTTCGTCAAGTGTACACAAACGGGATAAAATGTTTCAATGATTTTGTTTATGTATATTTTAATGTATTTCTAACTTGGTATAAAATAAGCTTAAATGGTTCAATGAAAAATCAGGCAAATATGCCAATTGTTTTTGTTATTTATTTATTTATTTTTTTTAATCAAATAATCGATTTATGGTCTGAATAACCAATAGAAACATTTGTATCTGTACATATTCAGTATATGTGGTGGAAGGTCTCTGAAGTTATAAGAGAGAGAATAAACCTCTGGTAGAGAGTAAAGGTGGACCGATCTGAAATTAATATCTGAATTGGTCCTGATATTGAAAAAAGTTTTTAGATAGTTTATCAGTGATTATGTCTCTTCAGTCTGAACCTTTTGTAAGAAGTTTATCTTCACGTTTGACCAAGACAGTAAACCTGTTGTTTATTTATTTTGCATTGACAATTGTTCTAATAATTGCAATGACTGAACAAATTAAAGTTGTGTTGTTTTTACATTAGCTAGCTTGTGAAGCTGTTGGTGTATTTTAAGTGTACTGTACTAGTGCAGTTATTAAATAAATTTATAATTCAGTACATTTATGTCAGTGTTTGAAAAAAGAAACGTTTTGAGTCAATTCAGCTTGGTTTTTCTGTACTGGACTGACTGATTCTAACGCTTAAGCATAAGTTCATGTGTTGTTATAAACCTGTAGTTGTTAGATTAAATTACAAATTTAAATTTAGCAGGGTTGATTTTCTGTTTTCCGTTTGTCTCCTGAATCATGCTGCTATTTTTCATCTGATTTGACTTTTTAATGAGCTAAATAACAAAAGCATCGATTTGAATAAGTCAGAGGTGCTCTGTTTGACCGCAGCTTGACCGCATTACATCACAGGGACACTGCAGGTGTAAAGTTACAGTAACATCCGAGTTAAGGCGCTGTGACCGGCAGCAGTACAGTGTGTGCGTGTCCTCAGCAGCCCTCTATGCGTTTCATCTCGGCCGACTAACCGGGATAATTTCACGGTCTGATGAGCTGGCAGAGACCGGCCGGCGCGCCGGACACTTTAAAGACTTTCTTTTTCTAATGCGTGTGGAGGAGGATGAAGGATCAGTGGGTGTTCTTCGCTTCAGATTTCCCCTCTCATCGTGACTAGAGAGGTCGACTCCTACGATTAAGCGATGAATCATGCCTTGTGATGGCATAACTAGTCAATGCTGTGCTGGACATCTTCTGTCCTTCAGCAGAGGGCGGATTCAGCAGGACAGGACGGCTGGACTTGGTTCAAAGTCATTGTCTTTCTCTGCTGAACTCACAAACTTTAGTGAATTTGACAGTTTATTTTTTTCTTTGAGGATCCCCATTAGTCTCTACCTTAATGTCCACACCAAATATCACAATATAAATTCCTTTACAAACAAAAAACGCAGACACAATAACACAAAATTCAAAATCAACCACTTCAACTTACAGATATTACAAAAAGGCAACAAAAACTATTTTGATCAAAACAGGACTAAATTAAAATCAAATATAAGTACAACAAACGATAAGAAACTATAAGTATAAATTTGAACTTTCCATCAATTCAATGTTAAATGTTCTTTTAAGTTTACGGAATTAGCCATCAGTGTAATTTCAGAAGGCAACATATTCCAAAAGGAAATCGCTGCATACACAGCTGTTTTATTTGTCAGCGAGTTGGTTTGAGGCAGACGTAATGTAAAAGTGTTACTAAAGGTTCGTCAGGTATTAAACGCATGTTTATTACAGGTGGGTAACAACTGTGAGAAAAGGCTAGACGGTTTACATGAAGTCCAGATTTTATGGAAAGAGAAATGAAGACCACATGCTCGTCTGTCGCAATCTTATTAAAGAAGTATGAAATATCCTTAAAATGATGATTACTTTTTAAAATTTTTATGTATTTTGGATAGGGGTGCACTGATTGCAGTGTTCTGGCTGATCACAATTACCGATCTTTAAAAAGTCTGACTTGCAGATTCCAATTTAGACCAAGACCAATTTTTTTGTCTGAAATGTTGCTAAATATTGCAAGTCTCAGAGTTGATAACAGTTGATAACGTCAAATCTTTCTCATGGGAGAGCAGAAGCAGACAGTGGTTGACTTTTAGATCTTTGTTGAGGTAGATAGTGGATAAGATCAGCTTCACATGGAAGTAATGGCCGATCACCTTTTCCCAAAATTAAGGACATTGGCACCAATAAATCAACTGGCAGATAAATTGTGCAAATAGATAAATGCTCTCCTAATTTCGATTCATTATTTTGCTGAAAAACCCAGTAATTAGGGCCCTATAAAGTTTTACTTTTTTCCATTTTCTACCTTTCTGTCTTAATTTTTCTAAATTACTTTTTAAACATATGTCAATGCAGAAAGTTTGAAATTATGGTGTGAATTAAAAAATTAACAGATCAATAGCGAGAGGTCAACATTGCTGTGGTTTAACAAAACATCAGCTTTATAAAGTGCTACAGTGTTTTCACCTCGTTAAACATTATGTGCAAAAGTCATAATCATCAGTTTTATGTGTCAACACCTGTGCAGTTTGAAATTACAACTTTTAAGACTTGAAATTTGTAATTCTGTCTTTAAAACTCAAAATTGTTAGTCTCATTCTTTTAGTTTTTATTTTAAACCATGTAATTATGACTTATTCTTATAATCATAATTTTATAACTCATAATTACAACTTCCTCTTGGGCTTTTCTCCTTCCTTTCCAAATGTACTAAAGGTTGGATTTTTCATCACCATAGTTTACTTTTAGGCTTCCTATTCGTTCTCAGTTCCTCAGCATCTAAGAATGCTACATGCTAAAGTGTTTATTTGACATTTTTCCTGATAGCGGTATTTGTACAAATGTAATAAAAATTTGTTCCATCACTTTTCAGGTGTGATTCTGTAAATATAAAAGCAGAAAACCACCAAACTCTGTGACTTTGCCTTGTTTTCCTCCTCATTTATCCCTTTACCATCACCTCATCATTTAACAGCTCCTCTGCAAATTCTTGTTAAAGCTTAGTTATTCTGCTCGTTTCCAGGCTTTGATGAGAGGCACTCCATGATGAGCAGCTAACGCCGTCGGCCGCACAACTGCAGGAAGAGACGTGGCTGCTGCTCCACCCACAGTCGACACATGGCGGTATTAGGGGTAAGATCTGCTCTCTTCTTCAATGTTTTTACCTCCTGCTTTAGGAAAACACTCTTAAATGGACTTGAAACATGATCTAACTCAAAAGCTAAAGGTTTCTCTTTTGCGTTTTGAGCTGAAAGCTTCCAAAGACGGATCTTTCTCCTCGTCTTGCCTTCTGGACGTCTGCACAGTTCTTGTAGTTGAGGAGGATTGCCGGAGATGTTTCAGCCTCTAAATAATGGATGCTCGGTTTCTCAGAGTCTGATTCACTGAGCATAACCCGCCATTAGATGAGCAATCCACGCTGCTCAGTTCACACCAGATCGCCTGGTTGCATCTGTTGGTCAGCTGGATGTAAAATTAGGTAAACAAATCACAGAAATAAGCGCCAGAAACATTTTCTACACAATTAAAAGATTTACTCAATAGGAGCGAGACGAACTATGAGTAATAAGTAATATAATAATAAGAACAGGATTCGGGACTCTGTTTAAATTTAGCTAAGTTTAAAAGAAAATAAAAGCTGTCTTGGATGCAGCAAATTTGGCTTTTCAGGAAACTTTGACCTGTTCGTAACTCTTGATTATAAAAAGACGAAAAATTATGAATGTTTTGTGTTGTAGCTTCTTGTGTAAGAAAATTATACTGGTAATAATTTTTTACCATGATTGCAAAATAAACGCCTGTCTGTATCTTCGGGCCAAATTTGTATAATTTTTGAATTGCAGTGGGAGGCCGCACAAGATAAGTCCAGGGGCCACAAATGGCCCTCGAGCCACACTTTGGACACCCTGATCTAATAGATGCTGTGACCATTCGCACGTGCTCTCAGTTTCTATGAGTAAACTCCCAGGGATTAGTTAACAATGAAACCACAGTGTCTCATGCTGTTGCTCAACTCAACTGGAGCTTCCTCTCTGTCGAGCGTGATTCGCCCTCAGAGCGGCGAGTCGCAGCGCGTTCATCTGTGTTGCTGCACAGCAGCTGTGCTCACTTGTGGATAAAAATCGGTAATGAGTTGTTTCCGCCGGCGATAAATGACTCTCCTGGCTCCTTGCTGATGTTGTCAGGTTGGCGGTGGATTGAAGGGAGCAGCAGGTTATTAGCAGGGAATAAACGAAGATGCAAGTTGGCGCAGAAAACAATGATGCTCTGTGATCTAATATAAAAAGCTGCAGTAATATCCAACTCGTGAGAGTTTAGTCAGAGAGGCTTACAAAGTATTAACCAATTACCCTCAGAGCAGATCCAGCAGCTCTTCATTTCTAAGAAGCTGTCAGGTCATTTATCTTTAAAAAAAGTTCATGAAACAAACTTGGATTGAGGAAAATGAAAAACTGAAGTGATTATTTCAAATTATCTTGCAGATCGAGTTTATTTTCCCTTTTCAGAGACAGATCTTACTGTTTTCTAACTGGATTACTGGCAATCTTTGACTAGGCCTCACTGAAACCTTCATTTTTGCGTTTTTATGAGTAATTCAGCAGTAAACCTCCTGGTGTACTTTGGCTAAATTTAAACTTAAGTGCACTGAAATCATTTCTTCAAACAAAATGACAAATTTAAGATCATGTCACAGCATCTCAATTTGATGTAGGGCCAGACTTTGACTAGGCCATGCTGAAAATAGTTGGACATTGTAGCTCAGGATTTGCTCATCGTAGTTGTCAATGTCCTGCAGCAGCCTGAAACCATCACTCTGCCTCCACCATGTTTTTCTGAAAAGCTGAGTTAGTCTTACACCAGATGTAATGGGACAAACGCCTTCAAATGAGTTTAGTTTTTGTCTTTTAGCAAATGGGCTTTTTTGAGTCTGTATGAATGAATGATAAATCAATTACTAAATTAGTTGACGATTATTTTAATAATCGATTAATACGATGAATAATTTCAAAGAATTCATGGTTCCATGCACTCTAACAGAATTTTCATCACTCTTTCAAGAGAAACAGCCCCACAGTTCCTCCTCTATTCCCAGTTATAGACATGATTATTCTAATGTAATCTAATCTTCCTCATTGCCATCAATGTGAGCAGTGTTGTTTTGTGTCATTGTGGTAGAGCTAACCAACGTCATGTGATGCTTGTTTTGATCTTCAGCCCGTTTCTTTGTGTCCTTGTTCCTCCCCAGAACCCCGACATGCTGACGAGGAAGATAAAGCTGTGTCACATCAACGCCCACATCACATGTCGCCTGTGTGAGGGCTACCTGATCGACGCCACCACCGTCACCGAGTGCTTACACACCTGTAGGTCCTTCCTCCCACTCAGTCTTCATCTGTCTCGACCTATTTCCTGTTTTCTACCTTCTCCTTTTTGTTCTCTTTTATTCTAAAAAGCACAATCAGAGAAATAAACATCTCGTTTTTTTAGCAGAAAACTGAAGCAGTTTATTGATATTTTCCCGTTAAACGCTGATCTAAGTCAACATCTTAAGGTAATTGTGTGCACACACGATCACAGAGCGTGTAATCTGCACATTATATCTCACAAGAAGGGGGGAAATAACGTCGCCTCTCGTTCACACTGAGGTGCTTCATTAGCTGGGTTCAGCAAAGTCGAATTACACCATCTGCTGCTTTCTGCAGTTTGTTACTATTTTGTTGGATCAGGGCTTTGAGTTTGACACAAAATTACCCTGCATCAGTCAGAAGAGATCTTCATTAGTCGAGATTAATGTTTAGGCTGCATCATTAAAACACAATAGAAAATGTTGAATTAAAGTCTAAGCGGTATAAAGATGAAGGGAACATATGGCGTTTTATGCAAGATGAAAATATTATAGCTCAAGTAGAAAATTGTTCTTCATTCTGATTTTAAATATTTTTTTTCATCTCACTGAAAATTACAAATGACAGAAATTATCTTAAAACTGTATTTTATTTGTTTTATTGTTTTATTTTTTATTGATTTTACAAAAAACATTCACTATCATGATGCACAATACAAAGAAGATAAATAGGTTTGTGAATCATGATAAATAAAACAATCATTACAACTATCATTATTTCCCAGAGAAAGATTACAATACTTCAAATACAGAATGGAGAAATGCAAATAAATAGAAGCACACAATCTAAAATCATATAAAATAATGATAAAGTGTGTTTATTACAAGAGAATAGTTTTATCAAAATATTAACAGAATGAAGTATAAATTTTATGACGACTAAATAAGGAAAGTTAAACATCTTGTGAAGTTATATTTTGATGTCAGTTTTACAAATAAGGAAATATTTAATTTTTTGACAAATCAGCATCAAATTATTATCAGCAGCAGGAATTTGAAACAATTATACAAACTACTTACGACTGATCCTCTATCAAAGCTTTTTTTTTTTCCCATTCAAACAATTTCTTCTTGTAATATTGTATCTCTATTTTGCTAATATTATGATTTTATTCTTGTAATTCCCAAAAAACAGTCCTAATTCTCCATCATAGATGCTTGATTTTTCCTGTTGTGTTTTTAAAAGTCTTTTGAAATCTTTTCCATGTGCTTTATTAGTTCGCGTGCATGTTTTTATAGTTTGTAGTAATTTTGTGAAATCATTTTTAAAGCCCAGCTTCCTCTTCAGTGCTTCACATCAACACTTCCTGTGTAGCCAGTGAGGCCTCTGCTGGCCTGCCGACTCTGTTTAAATGAAATCATCCAGTTTCTGGTTGAACTCTTTCTAGTTCGTGCTCAGATGAAGCCTTCTGCAGTTCACTCTGTGCTTTTTTGAAAAGAAACCAGCTTGCTTTTTAATTCAGGGATCCCTGTGGGGTCACAGAGTTTACAAGTCTGCGTCCTGTTTACTTCATCTTCCGTCTGAAGCTCACATGAGAGCTGAGCCAGTGCAGAAAGCGTAGCCAACAGCACGCTGACACAAAGCTGATACTTATCCTGAAGGAATTCTGGATTGTTTTTAGCTGCAGGCTGCTGGTAGCACTTGAAGGAAAACATTTATGATATTTGCAACATGAAAGAACAACAAAAAGGTCAAAGAAACCTGGTTTAAATTCATAAAACAAACCCAGATGCTTCAGTTCAGTTTGCCTCCACTAGAAGGAGCCCTATCACCACAGATGGGAGTCTTCTTGGTCACTTCAAACATGAAGCATCCAGACGTGAGGCTTCGACTTTTGCTTCTCAGTCTGGAAAAAAGGGGGCTCCACCGTCGGAGAGCCGAGACAACAAAGACTTTCGCATCACGTCATCGGCACAGCTGCTCTGCTGCAATAAAAATGTCAAGAAGAGATGGATTTCGCGGCACAACGGGTTCTGCAAATTACACCGCAGGATTCCACAACACATTTATTGTATCCACAAAAGGTGGCTGTAGTTGAAAGTAAAATTCCCTGAAGTCTGAATGTATTTTGAGGGGATTTGTACCTTGATCCAAAGTCGCTTTATGATTTCGGATGAATCATAAAACAAGGCACATTTGGTTCTTTTTAATTGAGGCTTTCTTTTTTTCTTTTACACTGATGTGTTTAATACTGAAGAGACTCTTGCATGTCCCCGAGCAACACAAAATGCAGCATTCAGTAAAGAAACACTGGGGTGTGCAGAGGTGTGAAGAGTTTCTTATCATGATAAGAATTTTGATTAATCATTTTCATAATCATGAATTTCACACAAAACTGACAGTATTATTGGACATTTTATGTTTGCACAAGAGTGTCAATAAATATCAGTAAATTCTGCAATATGATCAAATGCAGTTACATGTGTAGACCTATCGCATAAGCAACAAATTAATTGATAAGATAAATTAAAACAAGCTCAATGATTTGTCTTTTCTCTCTTTTTGCCAAAAATGAGATGAAAGAAGTCATCAGTCTGGTTCTTTGGCCTCAACTGTCCCTTTTTTGAAGGATAATTTTGTTTACAGAGACTTTATAATTTATTTTATTTGTTTTTTTCTGTTCTAGTGTTAAGGATTTGTTAGAATTTAAAGTTTATCGCTGAGAATATTTTATTACATTATTATGGCCAGAACATACCATTACATCACTTGAAAATGTTCTCAAAGCAACGACAGTCCTCATTGTGTACAGCTTAGTGACATAAATCATATTTTTTTTGTTTAATTTTTGTCCTGAAGAAGTGTGTTTGAAGTTGAAATGAACAATGTTTGTGTTTGTGGCACTATGAATGGAGTCACACGAGCCATACGATTACCTAAAAAAGAGCAAAATGTCAGGGGGTAGGGGGTTATTTATTTTTTTAATCATACTCACGCTAGTTGTTTACTTTCAGAACCATGGACGAGTTTGAGGTTTGCAACTTTTAAAACCAAAGGAAAGGCATCATGGTAGTGAAGCTAGCAGGGTAATGGAGGATGTACACTGTGTTGTAACACTTTATCTGCTGTGTGTGTCTGCAGTCTGTAGAAGCTGCCTTGTAAAGTATCTGGAGGAGAACAACACGTGCCCCACGTGTAGGATTGTTATTCATCAGAGCCATCCACTGCAGTACATTGGGTGAGTGGGGGACCGCTGCAGAGCAGCACACACACACACACACACACACACACACACACACACACACACACACACACACACACACACACACACACACACACACACACACACACACACACACACACACACAGTCTGCAATCAGCAGCACGCCGCCACGAACCTGACAAACTGCTGAGGACTGAGGAGCCGATGGATCCATTTTATTCCAGCTCTGCTGCAGGGAGCAGCGGCACGGCCTCGAGCTGCTGAGGCGCTCTGTGTGTTTTTCTAATAGATGATGCATCTAACCCCAACTCATTCACAACCTCGCTCTACATAAACACTTCAGTGCTCTGCAGTTAATATTACACCGTGTGTGTAAAACACCAGAGACATAATGCCTGTGATTCGGTTATGTTTTATTTCAAAGCAGCTAGTGTTTCACTGTAATCTTTTATAAAAGGGATTCCTGTAGTATTCAGTCTTCCTTCCATACTAACTTACAAACTCAGTGACTATTAAGTATCTGATATTATTTACTTTAGCAACGGTATAAAAATCAACCACTGTCCTCTCCTGTGAGTCAGGTTTGACTGTAGACTGCCCCACCAGATCATTCTGCACATTCGCATTAAGAATAGTCAACCCACTGTTGCAACTCAGAGACCTTCAAACAAAAATAACCCGGTATTGGCCAAAATCGGAATCAGCATGTCAGACTTTTTAGAGATCGATAATCTAGGATCGGCCAAAAAGCTGCAATCGGTGCATCCCTATTGTCCACATGTAGCCAGGTATTTGATAAACTTATTTTAATGCTATTGGCTTTTCATTCACACGTAACCTCCATTTAATATTAGGGATGTACAAAATATCGGGACTAACATCGGTATTGGCCGATATTTGTAATTTTGGTCCAATAAATTAAACTGAGCCGATATGAACAACAGATATTTGGTTTTCTCTTATTTTGTCAGGTTTTAGTTTTGCTCTACACTGCCCCCTATTGGTGAAGTTCTTTAACATAACGCTCAGTAGATGAACTTTTCTTAAACCAATCAGATGTTGTTCAGATTATGTTATAGAAAGAAATATCCTGTTAATCATTAATGATTAATTCCTTCTAAAAGGAATTAATGCTCAATTCAGATTTTTAAATTAGATTTTTTCTTCTTTTTTTTTTGCGACTTGTTTTTTACCTTCTGTCTGACCTGCAAATTCTTTATTGGGTATTGTAAAATTGCTCCTGATCAATAAGAGCAGATCTATTCAGTCTAACTTATTTATTCTAATTTATATTTAGAATTACGAATTGCTCTTTCTGAACTATTTGAAGGAAGATTCATTGACATTTAGGAAGTCAACCTTTTGTTTTATCAGTTTCTTTAATTCTTTAAATCAAAATTACATTTATGCCTTTTGATTATAATCAACTTGATCATTTTGATAATAGCAGTTGACAAAATGTAATGTTTATAGCTTATTTTATCATTGCTAATTGTGTTGTTCTTAACATTTAAAGCACTTTTAAAGATTTGAACTCCAATAAAGTCATGTATAATTCACTATGTATAATTTATCTTAGAATTAATCTTGAATTTTACAATTCAAGATGAATTGTGCAGAATTTTATTGATTGTTTAAGTGGAAGGACTGGAAATGGATGGGAGAAAAGGCACGTAGGGACCTTGGAGGGCTATTGATCAAGAGCGCTTTGAAGGATTGATCAAGTGTCTAACCGCTTGGAGGGGAAATGAAAAGAAAAGAGGGAGTGGGAGAAAACTTCAGCACAATGCCCAAATTTGAAAGCTTTATTACTTTTTCACAAAGAGCTGGCAGAGTGCAGATTTGCATTCTAATGAAACACTAATATAATTTCCGTGATTAGTCTGATCTGTAATCTGTGGTTGCAGTGACGCACAGCTCTGTGTCAGCTCTGCATGCGCTCAGCAGAAATAACCTCTGGCCTTCTGAGATTCAGCTTATTGTTTGTGAACTCTTGACCTGCTTGACGTTTTTGACTTTTTAATTTTAACATACTTATTTCAATTCACCTTTGTCATGTTTTATGATATTTCAGCAACATTTTCTTAGATTTTCCTTAGTTAAAATCCCCAAAACTGTCAATGTGTTTTCTTATATTTGATTTATCTCAGGGATTTCCAAAGCATGGCGCATGGGCCTTTTATGGCCCGTGGACGGATTCTGTGTGGCCCCCAACTGCAATTCAAAAATTATACAATGAAGGTTGAGAGTTTGAATTTGTGATCAGGATAAAAATACTCCCAATATAATTTTCTTACAAAGTATTTGTCTTTTTATAATCAAGTTTTAATTTTTGATTAAACTTGCTTACATATACAATTTTATGATACTAATAATTAAAAATGTATCTTTTACTTTTTTTTGAATTTTTGCTATTTGTTGTAGTTTTCCATCAATCTGGGACAAATGGAAAACATTAGATGGTCAGATGGTCTCAGTGTTGCTCTAATAAAACATGTTTGATCAGACTGGGTGTTAACTTCACCTCCTTTTTTAAATCACTTTCAACACAAACAGTTTCATCTGTTTCTGTTTAGATGTGTGGCTGAGTTTTAGTGTATTTAGTGGTGAAACCTCTGCTACTTAGCGATGCACATTTTAAGAAACTAATCCTTCATGACTTTAGAAATGTAGTTTCTGTCAAAAGCTGCACAGCTGGTGCAGAAAGACAGGCGTTGCAGCGCTGCTGTTGAATATAAGTTTCATTTCTTTATGTCTTGTTGAGAGATTTTATGCTTTTTAATCAAAATGCTTTAGGAAATGAACCAACATAGATGCTTCAGAAGCTTTAGGAAAACTAATCCTCATCCAAACTTCATGTTTGGTTCTTAAATGGAAACTCCTGAAAAACACATTTCTGAGCTTTTTCTCAGAAAAATTTAATATAATTATATTTACTGTAAGTCCATACTTTGTTTCTCACTTTTTTGTAGAGGTTGTATTTCTGTGTTTTGGACCTCAGGTTATTATGATTAATAGCTCTTTTTCAAGTCACTTTCATTCTAGTTAATGATTCCTATTACAACTGATTTACATTTATATTAAAAAAAAATACTATTAACATAAATTTGTGACAACAGTATTTGGCAGAAATAAGGTTTAATAAGCTCCTGAATTGATTTTTCAGTATTATTTTTGTGATTAATGCAGAAACAAAATATTGCAGTTTCAGTTATCATCAAATAAACAGAGCTGGCTGCAGCTTCATTATTTCACAGAAAATTTTACATAGCTGGAAATTACACTTGACAACAAACATCACAAATGATTTAAAGCCAACATGTCAAACAGATGGTGAATAAAATTCTTCGGCTTATTTACAGTATGTTGATCAAACTTGACACGGATATCTGAATCTCGCTTTAAGAAATTAATCTGTTTATACACTTTTCTGAATTTCCAAGTGAATTAGGAAATTATTGTTTTCTTATCTGCTGTTTTTCAAACATAGGACATAAAATTTTACCCAAAAAAAGTCCAATAGAAACAGAAGTAGGTAGAAACACTACTTCAAAATATCTTCACTCAAGTAAAAGTAAAAAGTAGCCATCCAAGAAATTGCTCAAGAGTAAAAAAGTATTTGGTAAAAAAGTGCTCAAGTATTGATGAACTAATCAGATTACCACTCCTTTAATACTTAAAAATTACACAATCAGACAGAACAAATGTAAAATTAAGTGCAATTTTTGTATTTTAAGGACAAAAATTAGAGTAATTCACATGAGTAACAAAGAAATAGCAAAATCAGGCAAAAAAATGTATCCAAATAATTAAAATACAACTGAGGTTTTATTTTAAAATGTATTATTATTATAAAATTATTAACGTTTCAGTTAACAAAAACTGCAGGTTTGCGCCTGGTGATTTTTTTTTTTTTTTTTGGTTTAAACGTGTTTGTTTTTCATTCAGTTAAAGTACAGCTTTTTAAAATACTTCTAAATAAATGCAATTGAGTAAATATATCTAGTTACTACCAAACTCTGAATGCAACTGAGAAAAACAACGAGTAAATTCTTCAGCTCCCAGTAAAAAATTGGAAGTGCTACCATCTTTTGTCCAGCAGGGGTCACTGTTTTGCTGGTCACAGCTCATTTTCTTTTGACCCTCAGTGTGCCGCAGCGTTGACAAACATGCCACGCTTTCTGGATCTTTCCTCCATAACTCTGCTGCAAACTCGACACGCCGTGTCCGTTATCCGGCTGTCAGAACCAGGTGTCAAAAAGCACCGTCAGACCCAGGCCGCCCCCACTGTGCCGCCGTGTCACAAGCACAGAAAGAAAAAAAAAAAGGCTACTTCACAGCCAGACTGGGAAGAGCATATGCTCCACACCAAATTCAGAGAGTGTCAATGTTACAACACCTTGGACATTTTTCCATAAATGTCATCTTGAGGTTTGAAGCTTTTTATGATCCAGAGTTTACAGAGATGCAGGAGGGCAAAGAGGTGAGCATTTTTGGTTTGACATGCTGGATAAATCAACTGGTGGGTGGAAGAGTGATGCCTGTAGCTACAGTCATTTCATATGGTTTCAAAAAATAAAAGCCTGCTCTCTATGTGAGAAGTACTTTTACTCTCATTTCTCCTCTTAGGAATCTCAGAGGAGTTAATAGAAATTCCAGTTAAGGTGACAAATTTAGAGCAAAAACAGAAAACCAGTAGATTTATTTTCTAGATGTGGAGTAATATCTCTATGTCCACATGTTATTCCCTGTCCAACTGTCTTAAAATTGTGCACTATAAAAACACAAAATCAAAGTTTAGTTTCTAGATTTTTTAAAAGTCAATAATCAATTATTTTGATGAAAACTGACTGGACCAAAATACTTCATATAATTTTGTGTTTTTGCAGTGCATTCTCATGTGTTAGAATGGCCCAGTCAAAGTTCAGACCTAAATCAGACTGTAATCAGACTGAGCTACAGCTGCTATAAAGAGAGTGAACTTTAATGGCAAAAAGTGTCAATTTTTTACAGATTGATTATTTACAAATCTTTTAAATATTTTTCTTCACAGTTATATACTAATATCTATTGGTTCATCAAACTAAATACCAAGGAAGTGTTTGGGAATTAATCACCTTGCAGTGCAGGGTACTTTAAATTTTAACTAGAGACTGATTAATCGTGGTTCTGAAATGTAGAAATAAACATGTTGGATTAATATTTTGTGTACAGTTCTTTGCGTTAGGTTTGCTAACCATTTCCTTCATCTGTTTTAGCCATGACCGAACAATGCAAGACATCGTCTACAAGCTGGTACCGGGACTTCAAGAGGGTAAGAGTCACCCTCTTTTATCAGAAATGGTTTTCAGCTTCAACCATGTTGTTTATCTCTATCTGGCTGGTTTTACAACGTTAAAATATGCGCGCACTTTTACAGCTCATCCTTCATTTGTGGATTGTTTTCTAGACCCGAGGAGCTTTTACCACAGATGTAATCAGACACTTGAGAAATCCCCTTTTATTTGTCGTGTTTGCCTCTTGTGCAGCGGAGATAAAGAAGCAGAGGGATTTCTATCAGAAACTGGGCATGGAGGTGCCTGGGGACATTAAAGGAGAGCTGTGCAACATGAAGACTCATCTAGATCAGCGAAATGGTACAAACACACCCTTTATGCACAGGCTTCAGAAATACAGCTACCATTTTGCACACACTATTTCATGTAGTTGCTATTTGTTAAACTTTTTCCCCACGGGGACTGAAAGCAGCAACAGCATTGAGTTGGTTGTTTCTAGTTTTGAAGGTTTTGTGTATTTATTCTGGAGTTGCTTTTTTTCAATCTAGGCTGACAAACACTTAAACATTTTGATTATTTTTTTTTTATTGCAAAGGTAGGATTGCAAGAAAAATTTATAAATTTCAATGTGTCTCCAAACAAAAGCAACAATAAGCTGCACCATCCAGGCAGCCAATGATTGAAATAGACCATTTTCTCCTGAATGGTTCTAATTGCTGGTTTTTCTATTCAGACACTTCCTTTTCTGTTTACTTAATGCACCAAAACCAGAAATGGTAACTTGTTTAGTTTGGAGATGCATCACCAAACATCATCTGTCTATATTTATGAATGGAGGACACCCAAATAAAAATCCAATTTGAGCCAGATCCAGATGTGGTACTAAATCGGATATGTGTCTTGTTTGTCCCACATTCATCATGCCACATTTAATTCAGGTTTTACATCACTGACTTGGCATATTTGTCATAATCATGCACCAGAAAAAGCCAAATATGGAAAATTCAACATGTTTCATGAGAGAAGACAACACCTAAAGTGATGTCTTGTTTCATACATGTTTGAAAACCCCTTTAATCTCCCAGGGCAATAAAATAAAAATAGTTTTTACATGTTTTAATGTTTAAAGGTTTTAAATGTCTTTCACCTCAGCAGTGTGTCACTGCTCTTATTAGCCTATGTAAAGAATGAACCCCCCTCAACCAGTAATGACTAACATTAGCAGCACAACCATGAGGAACAGCAGAAGCCATTAAACAGCACAGATGAAGGCAATTTAGCCAACCAGAGTGAGTTGATGGTTTGGTTTTTGTGCACAGTCGTTTTTCTAAACCGGCTCTCTGCTGCATGTTGGTGTGAATGTGTGTCCAGAGGGCTGTCATGCTGGCAGACCTAATCGTTCGCTTAATCCCCCTCTCTGATTTTGGTAATTAAGGCTCAAATGGGAGAGGAACTGCTCTGGTTCTGTTCCTCGAAGTCACTTGTGGCTGAAGCGAGAACGTAGAGAAACCCATTCAGAAAGAAAATTAAAACAAAGGAAGTTCTGGACTTTAATCCAGCATCATCTGCATGCAGGAGATTAAAATTTAAATATTATTCCTCTGCCTCAGGCAGTGATAATATCTGTAGATTTATGTAAATATGGCCAGTATCTGATTTAGCAGCACTGGGTTAATTTTAAGTTGATTTTTCAGATCTTGCAGGATATTTTTCAAACTATGCAGTCGTGCAGAGTTCAGTGTTTGAAAGGAACTTGAAGTCGTAGCAGGTTGAAATAAATTGCCCCGATTGCTGATATTTGCGTTAGCTAATGAGTGTTTAGAACAGGTTTTCTTTTAAAATCAATATGTCATTCTGATTTGATCTGTTGTAACCTCAGAGAATGTAAAAAAAAATTATTAATCACTGTATTTACATTCACTTTGCATTTATTGCTGCCACTAGAAAGATTTTTAAAAGTTAAAAGACCACAGCTTTGAACCACAACTGTTTATATCTGGTCTAATACTTTTTTTTACACTCACACATGAAAATGATCACAAATAGATTCACAATCATACAACCGTACATCTTTGAAAAGCAAAAGTGGAAGCTCCTGCACAACCAGCAACAATTCAGCCACTGCTTTAATGAACAGGAAGTCAACAACAAAACACTTGTCCTTTCCAGCAGCCATTGTTCAGCAGTAAAACCAAACGTGCAGGAGCTCTGGTTTGGTTGCTGGTAACGGCTCAGTTCCTGTTGATTGTGACTTAATAATAAAGAGGTTTTTGAAGCGACTAATTTTCCAGACACCAAAGAGCGGGTGGGTCTTTTTAAGCGCTTCAGCTAATTTTAGAAGCCATTGCGACCCAACTGGAAGCATAAAAATGTCCAAATATGACTTTCTCATAATCAATCCCCTTTAACGCGTTAAATCTGTTTGCTGTCATATGGAAACACTAAGTTCTGGAGGACTGCTTGACACCAGCCAAAACAAAAGCTGTTTCCACCGGCACACAGACTCATTTTTCTAAATTACCAGCTTTTCTGAGCACTTAACCCAAGAAGACTGGGTCACTTGGGGACGCATCGAGTCTGCAGAGTACACTTTTGCTTTCATGACAATCTAAACTCCCACACCAACACACACAGATGGCTCACTCCATCTCTCACAAGCTAGCCTGAAAACGTCATTGTGCACGCCTGTGGGACTTTAGCGTTGGGAAGATGTGCCATAAATCATAAAAAAGACAGAAGATCATTAGCTGACGGTAACAGGGGAGATGAAAAGACACAGCACAAGACGCAGGAATTGGCGTGATATGAGACTTTAACTAAAGCATGGCCCTCCTGATGAGCAATAAGTGAGGCTAACGCTGGAGACAAACACCGGACAAGCTTAATGTTCCTCAGAGGGATAGCGACAGTTGGCCCAGACGGAAAATACTCACAGAGGACAGAGCGTATCTACAGTCTGAGACTCACATAAACACAGTTATTACCTCCGCTGAATCCTGGAACAGACTGAATTTCTTTGTTTCTAAAGGTTACTGGAAAGCAAAACCCATCTGCACTGCTGTTCCTGTCACCGCAACGCAATTTAGACTTCGATAACCAAGTTTTACAGCTAAAAATTCAATACTGCAACAATATCACAGGCAACAGGAAAATTCATAAAAGATGTGTACTCTAACTTGATCAGCTGGTGCTGCTTGTTCGTGGAGCTTTTATCAGATGGATGAGGACTCTCTCCTGCGGTGAGGGAGCGCCCTTCAACTGAACCTGTTCTGGTTGGCTTTCCCCTCAGCTCAAATGAATTATATACTGTATTAAAAGCTGGAGATGGATGGTTTGTTTGCCATCTGTCTTGTCAGGTTGTGAGGAGGCAACATTGACATCACCAGGATAAAGTAACTTCATCATTCAGACTCAAAAAGAAACAGATCCTGTCTATTCTAGCAACTGAAAACTGATCCAACTTACATTTTTCCATCTCAATGATATTTATATATTTATTTAAATATAGGATGCAGAAAATTAAAACTTTTGGATACATTAAAACTTAAAGTACATTCCAGCATATCATATTCAAAAATCAGCCTTATAACCTTTAATGTATTATTGCAACATTGGAGCGGCACTCCAATGTTGCAATGTTCTAGTTTCCAGAACCTCCTCCTACTTATCCATCCATCTATCTCCAATCAACCTCATATATTTAAAGACAGACCTCAAAAATATCTACTAATGTCTTGTACTAAATACAAAAAGGCAAAATCTATTAATTTAACTCTGGATAATTATGAAATGTGTTGAAGTACCCTGTGGCTCATAAACTTTGCATTTATTTGTACTTTTTATATCTGCATTTATGTATCATTTTTTTTAGATTATCATAGTTTTTTCTTTTTCTCAAACAGGCGACACAAAGTTAGAAGACACAGCGAATAAGGAGGCCGGAGAGGAGAAGCCAGAGGAGGACAACGACTATCACCGCAGTGACGAGCAGGTTATTATTCTGCTTATTCATTCTGAACAAATGGACATATATATATATATAATTTTTTTAACTTTTAAGGAGAAATTGGTTCTGTTTCCTGTCAAAACTTCAATTTCTGGTAACAGTCTTAAAGGCATGAACAACACAACCAGTCAGGCTAAAAAACTGTGGAGATTTGAGTTGTCATTGTTGCCATACAGACTCTCTGCAGCATGAAGCATCTCTCCTGCATACTGATGCACAGGCGGAAATTTTTTTTCATACCAAAAAACAGTGAAAATCAAGCCCTTCATCTCCGAAGAAGCTCTCCCTCCCCTGGATGTGGGAGGGGTATTCTGTCCTGACGTGGGTGAAGATCTTGGCCTTCTGTAAATTCAGCAGCGATGCAGAAATGCCCACAGAATAGCTAATACTGCAGTCTGAACGCAGTGATGTGAAATGTCACCGAGAGGTGGAGAGGGAGAGAGCCGGGAAATACAAGATGACATATAAAAGAGGGAGAAATTGCAGGAAATTGCAGGATTGAGAGGCCAAAATGGCTGCTGACAGTAACAAGGGTGATGAGGTGATCATGAAATTGCAGAATTTCATTTGCAGGATTTTTGTGTTTGAGAGTAGCTTCAGTCACCCAGCTTCAGCCTCGGTGACTGAAGCTTGTCGGAGGAGGAGAAAGGAAAGAAGGAGCAGAGGGGTATCGGAAGAAAACGATGATGTTGGAGGAAGGGGAAGAGAGTGATGGGAAAAGATGAGAAGGTGTTTTAGAGCTTTCAGGAGAAAACAGAAATGAAAGCTGACATTAAACGACGTTTCATCCAGACTGTTGAAATATTTTTTTTTACCTGTAGAGACAGAAGGGTGTCAAATGCTTCTTTATTTTAGACTTTTTCACAAACCATTGCTGTTTATTTTTCAGTAAATTTGAACCTTTCTATATAGAAATCAAAAGAGAAAAAGATTACTTTCAATTCCTTTCAGCTCGACAGTGTTCTTAGAGATTAAAAAGTTCAAGCTAATTTTACCTTCACTTTGTTATACATAACATCACAAAATCAAATCAGCTCAATATGTCCTGTATATTTTTATAAATTATATCTCCAAAAAATTACATTTAAGACTGTAGACAAACTCATAAATGAAAACATAATCAAGTATTATTGTATTTATTTAGCTAATTACTTCACATTTATTTACTTTCATTTTGTTATTTAGGGCATTTTAGCTCAACACAATAATTAAATAAAAGCTGCTTTAATTATTCTTCCTGACCTTCAGCTTTAATTCACAGTTTTTCTTTAATTTCAAATCACTTTTATGTACACCTTATGAAGAGTTTATTATGTAGTTTGTACATAAAACTGATCTGAGCTCAACTAAATCATAACATTTGAATGTATTGATGTAAGAAATAATTGATTAGTGGAATGAAAATAGTCAGTTACAGTTTGGATAATGTTCTGCTTCAGGTTTTGTGTTGGTTTTATATTCCTCAAATGTCTGCACAGTAATTTATGCATGGATTGGTTTTAAAATGTGAATATTTCAAAATCTCCAAAAGCGGCTTACCAAATGTGCTGGGTTGCTGGGCAACGGGAAGGGTTTGGCTTTAGTTGCTAGGTAACCAAAGAACTTGATGCCAAAAGTTTTTTTTTTTTTAAGTGGAAGTACAAAAAATGTCCAAAATGTAAATTTTCCCCTTTATAACACCAGCAGTGCATATTTTTTTTCATTTTATGAATTAAATAGTAATTTTGTTTCTGTTTACTCAGATTTTTGCGAGTTTAAAACACAGAAAGAGTTTAGAAAAAGCTTCAGAAGATTCACAGCAGCGTTTCTGGGCAGGTAGGATGAGGAAGACGAATCCCTCTTCCTCTCCCGGTTCAGTCAGGTGTAAGAATCGACAGGCGAGCCGCCACGCATGGACGACCTCCAGCTGCCTCCTGGACGACCTTTCAGAGCGTAACCTTGTGGCGCTGCCTGAGAAAACTAATGAAACCTCTGACCAGAGTTGGGCTGTAACCAGTTACATTTACAGGAGTAATTTTTAGGACTATTTTTACTTCACTGTTCTTTGAGTAATTTTATCGCTACTCTTACATGAGTAAAATTTCTGAATTTTCTATTCACTCAATAAAAAACAAATATTTTAACCAAAAATTCATCATAAAAAGACACACAGATGCAGGTTGTTAAAGTTTTATATTGAAAAAAAATGATTTCAAAAATTTTTCTTTTGCCTTATTTTGTTATTTTTTTTGTTACTTACATAAATTACTGAGTTTGGTCCTTAAAATACCAAAATTTCCATAAAATTTTATATTTTAGTCCTTCTGATGATGTAACTTACATTTTTTAAAATAGATTGATAATTTGATCAGTTACTCAGTAGTTGAGTAGACTTCTTTACCAAAAGCTTCACACACAAACAAACTCAAGAAATCAGATATTGCTTAGATTTAAGGTCAAGAATTGCATTTGTGTATTTAGAAAATAGCTGTAAATTTTCTTATTGACGCCACTTGAGGCCTCGGTTGTCCAAAGTCGAAGCTCGAGCAAATATTCAACATGAAAAAGTTGCGTCAGAGCTCTGCAACAGCTCTGTAATGAGCCTGAAGCTTTTTATGCGCGCCTCACAAAGCACACTCAGTGTTTTCTTTGCTCTCCTCTCTCTTGCATCAGTGCATTTGTGTGTTTAGCTGCAGGAGCCCTCCTTGGCTCCGCGGACCCGTCGGTAATGTACTATAATGTTATAAAAGTGCCTCGCAGGCCGCCACCGAGCCGCCGCAGAGTCCTGATCACCAGCAAGGCTTTTATTTTACATTATGAGCTTCCCCTCACTGCCAGCGCCACTGGAAACCAGACACACTGAGATGTTGGTCTTTGCTTATTGAAGGGCAGACTGTTCGGCAAAGCACTGCCACTGTTTATTTGAGGATGTTTAAACAGGGGGGTTGTTGTCGCCTCCTATCTCCAAAAAGAGGAATAAAAAGAGACAGAAGGACAGTCGCACATGAAGAGCTTTGCTTCTCTCCTGTTTTGTCTCTTGATGTGTGAGTCCCAGTCATGATAATGGTTTCTGACCACGCTCCGTTTCACCTGAGGGGGCAAAACAAATTCACAGGCCAGTGGCAGGGAAAATCAGTGACATTCAGGAAGCCAATAGCAGATTAACATCGCTGATTTCGCCAACTTTGCTTATGAAAGCAGAATAGAGAATCCGCTGCAACGAAGTTAATTAGTTATTTTATTAATCGATTAATCCATTTTCTGATGATTAATTGATGAATCAGATAAAAAATGGCACCATGAGGATTTTTAAATACTTAAGCCTTTTTGTATACAATATTAGAAATACTGTAAAATGTGCAAATAAAAAATACACTTCTTTGTCTAAAATGCAATATAATGTATTTATTTATACTTAATTACTGCTTTGACTGTATTCTCTTGCATACTCCAGTTAATGATGATCAAATTAGTTGACAATTATTTTAATTACTCTGATTAATAACGATTAATCGTTTCAGTCCTACAAGCAAATTCTGCCTACAGTAGATCTACACCGTTGTGCAGTAATGATGGTACTGGAACGATAACTTTTGTTCTTTTTTAGATATTTTAGTGTACGTTAGTTAATGACTAATCAATAAGTAAGTTAGTTGATTAACAATCGATTTGTCATAATTTATCAGATTATTTCAGTGCTACTTCCACAGGTACTGAAAGCAATGATCACAATGCTGCAACGCTTTTAGCACTTCTGTAAATTGATTGATTGAACATTTATATCTGTGGAGTTGGCGCAGATCCTATAATCATGATTTTTCTTTTGTCCAAAAGGTCAGCATCTGCCTGGAGTGCAACAGCAGCAAACTTCGAGGTCTGAAACGCAAATGGATCCGCTGCTCAGCACAAGCCACCGTCCTCCACCTCAAAAAGTTCATCGCCAAAAAGCTTAACCTGACATCGTTCAACGAGGTACAGAAAGCAACACACTTCAGGCTGGATGGCTGAGTCTCACCGAGTCACAAGATCACTGAAATACTTATTTATTTCTGCACTTCTCCATAGAATCTAAATTATATGTCTTTGTGATACACACAGCGGTATATTGCAAAGTTGAGTAGAAGGAAAACGTGAGATTAATCATGATTGTTTTACATGATTAAAATAACGTTCTTCCTTTTTATGCTGTGACTCATTTGTGCCCTTTGTGTTTGGTATAATTTGCATGAAAACAAGCCCCCATGATATCTAATTTTTCTATTTATTGTCTTCTCCGCCCCGTGCAGAGCAGCAGGGGTAGGCAAGAGTGGGCGATATTCTGACAGATGGATTTTTAGATGGCTGTGAGAAATCGCCACAATCGCCTTCTCGTTGCCTATTTTTCCCGTTTTTCCTTCGTGTCTTTTAATATTTTGGCTGTCACACAGATGAGTGGGTCGGCTCCATTAGATCGTCGGCTTGCATCGCGCGGCTCTGAAGCGTCGGCCGCGCTTTACCCCTCCGGCTATTGTTGTGGCTTTCACTGACTGTGAAAAGATGCTTGAAACGACTCCGGATTTTAAAAGCGAGAGCATAAACACACCCGTTTAAATTTATCTGCAGGACGTCTGATGCTTAACAATTCAAGAAGAATAGGAACGTTAAAGTTTACATAGAAACCAAGAAGGGAGATGCTCAAAAATAATCCTACCAGATGATTTGTGTCATCATTGTAAGATATTGAGACACAGTTTGAAGTCCATATTGATTACAACAATTACCATTTGTTGAGACGTGCTGTTGTTAATTTGTGTAATTTGTGGGAAGTTTATAGCTTAAACTCTCTACATTGTTACTAAAACAATTTTTAAAATCAGAATTTTATATTTTCAAGTCAACATAAAGAGATGCAGGCATTTAAAATATGTATTTCAGAATAAGTATGACAGTGATTTATGTCTTATATTTTTGAGTTTTGTTGTGACCTGATGAGTGTGCAGCAGTGAACCAGCAGGTGCCGCTGTGACGCACGGCCTCCCTCTCTGTCTCAGTATTGACCTGCAGACGGCGCTCTGTAGAATATCAATACTGCTTCACGGTGGGAATAGATTCATCGAGCCAGCCGCGTGTTCGCTATCGAACCTCGGCCGTCCGGTTCCTTCTGTCGTTCACTGAGATTTCACCACAAACTTCATCATCATCATCATTGTGCACAGATAAAACTAGCAGCAGAAATCCTCATCCAGTCTGCTTTCTGTGGGGAAAAAACATTTTATTTTTCTCCTTCGATCTCTCTGGTAAATAAATAATTTTTTTTTTTGCTTCTTTTCACAGCTGGATATTTTATGCAACGAGGAAATCCTGGGAAAGGACCACACTTTGAAATTTGTTGTTGTGACAAGATGGAGATTTAAGGTAACTAATTCTGGCAGTTTTGAGGAAATAAACATGAATTCCAGCTGAGTTATGAAATGTTTTGATTGACTTAATCCTGTTGCATGTTGTCAAACTAAACACTATTCTAATCAATAATTGGTTTCGTCTCCCTTCACTAGTTGTGTTTCCATAATCCACATAACTGCACAGATTGGAGTTACGAAAATAAATTTGATTAATTGAAACAACAGTTGTGAAGAGGATAAAAAAGGTTATATCAAAATTTGTGCATTTGGCAAAACTGCAACACTTTTTTGCGTCGCACTAGTCACACGATCAACAACGTAAGAGAGTCCAGCACTGCAAAAACACAAAATCTTACCAAGATTTTTTGCTTGGTTTCTAGAGCAAATATCTTGATACTGTTTAAATTAGACAAAACTAACTCAAAAGTGCCTTTTAAGCAAGATATGAGAGCTTGTTTTAAGGAAATAATAATAGTTTTGCTGAAAAAGTATAAGATCAACTGGCAGATTATCTTTTTTGCACAAAGATATTTGAACAACAGACTAGGAAAAAATACTTGGTAAAACTTTCAAAATGTTGTTGTCCATTCCAGAAATCTCCACTCCTGCTCCATTACAGACCGAAGATGGACCTGCTGTAGCTACAACGGACACAATGGTTGTTTTATTTGGATCCTTTTGGTTGGCTTCTTCGCCGCAGTGAAACTTTCTTCTTCTTTGTTTTCTTTTTCTTATTATTATTTATGCAAAGACGATCAATACCAAGCAAACACCTGACATCAACAAAAGCCAGCAATTCGACATCTAATGAGACAAAAACTGGCACAGGACCTGCAACACCGGCGTGGTTTTACAAACTAAAACAACCTTTTTCTTCGTCTGCTACATCCTACATATGTGAACAAAAAGAGAAAAATGAAAAAAAAAAAGGAGAGAAAAGCATATATTTATACTTTTGTACAGAAAAGACATGAACCAAGACACTACTGGTGCTCTGTTTACACACAAACAAGATGTCGGGAGTCATCTGAACATGTTTTTGAGCTTCATCCTCCTCAGACGACGACTGACTGGAGAGGAAGGTCTTTTTTATATATAAGTAAGAATATACATAAAAAGGCGTCTTTTCACAACACAACATGTTCTGGGAGCACAGAAAGTTTATGGAAAAGTTATATAACATCCATCAATTTTAAGCTGATAAATCAATTTCCTCTGAATTGTTTTTTTTATTATTTTATTTCCATTATGTCTGATTTGGATTTCTAATGATTGTCAATTGTGAATAGGCTTTTTTTTTTGTATGTAGTAATTTATGTTCGATATGCTGATATTGTACATAAAATGTCATTACAGAGAGATTGAAGAGAGACTTTAGACTGTTAAATAGAAAAGAGAGAGTGGATCCCTGAAGTGCTATCTATATGGTGATAAAGACAGACTTGCTATCAGTATCAGATTATATGAAAGCATCTTTATGTTGTCTGAGAAAGACACAAAACAGCTTATATCAAATCTGCAACCATTTATGTGGGTTCTGAATATGTGAATTGACTTTAAGGAGGAAAACTGTCCCCAGCTTCAAGCTCATATAGAGAATAAGACGTTTAAGATATCGTCGTTTAGGCAGATTGAAGCCATTTAAATTTTGTTTTCCTCACTCTAAGCAGTCCTTAATATCCGTCCTCGTGTTCCTGCACTTTTTTTAGCAGCAGAAACTTATGGAGGAGGATTAGGGCCACTGGATAATAATAATAAAATATAATCATTGTGATTTATGAACTCAGAAAATTGAATTCAGAAATCCAAAGGAAAAAAATCAGAGAAAAAGTCAGAATTCTGAGAAAGAGGCCAGGAATATGAGATTGAAGTCCAAAACATGCTCAAAGAAAAGTCAAAAATCTGAGAGAAGAATCAAAAAATCTAAAATCTACGAAAGTCAAAAATATCAGATGGTTGACTTTTTACATAAATAGATAAAAAATAATAGATATTTGTAACTTTTGATTAAAGTCAGTGATAAGAAAAGGTCAGAAGTCTCACGTTAAAGTCAAAATTATAAAATTAAAGTCAGAATTCTAAGTAAAAAAATCTCAATTATGACATTAAAGTTGAAATTCTGAGATTAAAGTCAGAAATTGGAGACTAAAATTGGGATTTTGAAGAAAAAAAGGAAAAATTTTGAGGAAAGAAATTCACAATTTTGAAAAGTCAAAATAATTTTTTGTTTTTTTCAGTGTCCCTAATCCTCTTCTGTAGAAACTTCAGTTCTAAGGATTTTTATAATCTGGACTCATCAGCTCCACTTGCAGCTTTATGATGTTTAATTGTGGACAAATTTGGAGAAAAGGCATTTAAAATGAGAAACACGGTCTTCTCGCTGTCACATTGTTTATTCTCACTCCCAGCTGAAGAAGCTGCACAGTCTTCAAGTTCATTCCTGAAAAATGTATTTGTCATTTCAGTTTTTGTTTCTGTATTCGGATTTTTTATTTTTAGTTTGTTTTTTGCAGGACAGGCAACGTTCAAGAACACAAATTCAGGTTTAGCAGGGGCTGAGGCGTTACTTAAAGCATTTTAATATTGAAATTGAGAATAAAATGACCACAGCTGGGTCGTTTGGTGCTTTTTAAATGTGCGTTTGTATTATTGAGGAGGTTTCTTCTGTAACCACATGCGGTTCTTAACTGTGTGATGCAGCAAATCTGCTAAAGCTCTTCTTTTACATCCCCAGATCTTAGAAAAGTTTCTTACTTTTCTGTTTTTCCCAAGCAAATGCAGAACTGTCACCTTTTCACATGTGAAACGTTTTATTTAGAGGCTTCTTCATGATGTGGAATAACTGAAACGTTATTTAAAATCATTCCAGAAGTGAAACTATTTCTTTTTAAGGATTACAACTTGCACAATATTTTCACTTTTTGAAAGTGGCGATATATTCATTCATTTATGAATGAATATATTTTTATTATTTCAATAATAATCCCACTCACTGACATGCACTGTGTCTCTGTGGCAACAAATCCAGACAAACGCAGCTGAAACACCTGCAGAATTAAAGCCCTGACAGCATAGCTGCTCATTGTTTTTGGTTTCTGTGAAGCCATTTTATTAGAAATGCATCAATTTACTTTTATTATTATAGTTATTAAAGTATGTTGTTAAACAATATTTAGGAGCTTTGACTTTGAAAAATAGCCCTTATGTGCATCTTCTTGCCAGACTTTTTCCTTCCACTTTACTTTCCATTAATGTCCGTCCAGGTGCATCTCAATAAATAAGTCTATCTATGTAACTTTAGATTAATTACATTTGTGCTGATGTTTTCATGTCTTTTGTCTGATCTTTTTTAATATACAACTCATGAAAACTTATTTAATTTCTTAAGCTGCTCCAGCAATAATATTCTGTGGAATTTCTTCTTAAACCTGTTCTGATTTTTTACTGAACACAGAATATAACATCAGTAAAACAGTAAAAATTCTGTATTTAAAGGTTCTTTATTTACTGTTTTCACTTTTTGGAAAAATTGATTAAGATTAAGAACAGCGACAAACTTTACATTTTATGTTATTTTGTGCGAAACTCAGTTATGAAATTAGGTTTCACATATTTTTAATAGACTTGGAGGAATATATTTAATCAGAAAAAGTTATTCTTAAAATGGCTTAAAAACCTAAAACAATGAGCTAACAGGACTATTTTTCTTTTTCTTGATAAAACACTTTTTTCTTCCTGATTTTAATTGAAACTTTTTGCATCACAGCTGCTTGATTTCCACATTAATTTTGTTAAACGATAAAACTCTTCAGTTTGTCGACTGTGGGGTTTTAAATATTTGTTTTGTTTATTCCAGCTTCTGCTTGTCTTTGTTGGTTTGTGCTGAACGTTTTCTGTTTTCTTTGACGTACATCAGCTCTTCAGGTGAAGAAGCTGTAAACACCCAACATGGTGCTGCTGTGACTAGAAAACAAGAAAAATCTCACAAACACTGCAAGAACACAAATTATTACCAACTATTTCTTTCTACTTTCTAGTGCAAATATCTTGGCTCACTTGAAATAAGACAAAACTATTTAAGATATAAGAGTTTGTTTCAGGTCAATAATGACTAAATATTTTACCTGTAACAAGACATTTTCCCATGTTTCACATGTTTCAAGTGAAACTATTATAGTTTAGTTTTCTAATTACAAGAACACTAAGAGATTTTAAAACTGTTAAAGATAGAAAAATGGAGGAATAAATTTCCAACCAAAAATTCAGAAATTTTTAGATTAATTTCAAAAGTTTTCTAGAAGAAACCTGAAAATATCTGAGCTCTGAAAGACAAAAAATTGCTATTTATATGTATATGTACATATATAGCTTCTGTAGTTTAGAAATTTCCAAATTATTTCTAGAAAACTTCTGGTAGTAATCTTAAAATGTTTTTTGGTGGAACGTTTTTCCCTCTTTCTGTCTTTTTATCTATAGTTGCTTTTGGACACCATCATATATTTGCGCTAGAAAGTAGACTAAAGCTACTTGGGTCAATTTTATCTTTATGCAGTGATAATGTACCACAAATGCCTCACTTGCCCATTTATTCCTGCTGTTTCTGCTGTAATTGAGGGAACTCAGTTTGAGAAGTTAACGGTTGTCAGGTGGAATAATTATTTCAATGTGGTGCATCTGAAATATTTAAGACTAAACAGCTTTAGATTATGCAGTAGATTGAAAAATAATTTGTGGACAAAAACAGTTTTTTTGTTCATTGCTGATGGAAAAGGTGGAGTTTTCCCTCGCAGTGACGGTCAGACTTCATCTCTGGTGCTTTCTAAGGTGCTAACATTCCCTCATCTCCAAGTTTTCCTGCACAAATCCAGTCCGTGACGAAAAGGCGCTGTGCGAAACGTCGCCTGTTGGTTTTTGTTTCTGGTGTCGTTTCTCGTCGGTTCTGCCTCTCTGTGCAGATAAAGGTGCTGTTCCCCTCCCTCGTTCCTCCTTATTGATTTGTCTGCTTTACCAGCTGATGCAATTGAAAACCAAGGGAATTTTAAACAAGTTGAGGCCCGATGAGGTGGATTCTGTGAGAACTAAAAGTAAAGTGGTGAGAAATTGGATGTGCTGGCACCAATTTCATGGCTCAAATCGAAATCACACTTATTATGGGGTTCTTTGGTGTGAGATGTTTGCGCCTCTCAGTCAGATTGAAACTTGCTGGTTTTAATAGCCCAGACTTTCTGAATTATTATTTTTTATGGATTCTGCTGAGTAAGGTTTTCACTCCCAGCTCACTGGAACGGATCGATGTTTAGCTCTTTATTGGGACCAACATTAAGACATGCTGCTTGTCAGAGGTTCATGGCAGAGCAAGCTCAGCTGCAGATAAACAGTTTAATAAAAGGTCTTCTATAAGGTTATTCTGCTGTCGCTCTTGCATTAAACAACATTTCCTCAATGATTCTGGCTGCAGACTGAACTCTTAAACAGACTCTGCTGTTAAGTAAGTGTCCACTTTGAAAGTGTGGAAGGTTTTGTTTAGCTGTTGCTGAGAAAATCAGTTTTCAAACTATGATGTATTATTTTAAAAGTCCTATCTAAAGCTGACTGACTCATAAACCTTTAGTTTCCTCATTACCAGAAAGCATTGCAGTTACGAGCTTACATTTCATAAATCATTTTATTTAGCCTCATTGCCATATTTCAGTTCATTTGAAGTCCACACTTTGACTAGGACACTCCACCCTCATTCCCTCTCCCCCAATCCCCTTTTTGTTTTGTTTTGTTTAATCAGTCACTCCGATCTGGACTTTCTGCTGTGTCACAGACTGAATGGTTTTATATATTAGTGTGATTAAAATTACACAAAATTAACTTACAGATAACTTTTCAGCAAGATGCATGAGCTTATTTTAGGTCAATAATTCATTAACATTTATTTAAAAAAGACAGAATATTAGGACCATAATAAGAATATATAAAAAACTAAAATTACAAGAGTGAAATTGAAATAATGAGAATAAAGTCGTAATATTTTAAGAGTAGTTTAATATTTCAAAGATAAATTCATAAAAATAATCTTGTATTACTATGACATTATTCTTACATTATTTTGAATTCTTGTAGTTTTAGTACATTTTCTTTACATTATTATTGTGATCTTAAAACTTTATAATTGAAATATTTAATTCTCGTTATGATTTTCTTTGTGTGGTCCTAATACTTTATAAACTCAATAAAGGAAATCATAATTTGAAAACTGCATTTTCTATAATGTTTTTGTCAGATATTAAAACTGGTTAGATTTTCTGAAACATTTAAGTCAAAAAATAAATCTTTGAGATTTGTCATTTTCACATCACTATAAATTCTTGGTCAAAAGAGAATTAGGCAGCAGTTTTGTTGTTTTCAAATTACACAAAAATCCTTCCAGATCTGGAGGTTTTTTTCTAAATTTGATCCGTTTTAAAATCTTTCTCTGCTGAAGGAGAAATTTCTAACTTGACATGTTTAGTTTGTTTCTTTGCGTCTGAATTTTCCCGTAGTGTTTTAATGTTAACAAAATTTTCCCTTTGTGAGCGCAGAAAAAGAACGTGGTTTATTCTATTTGCAAACAAAGTGTGCAATATACCTTTTCCAGACTGTTTCAGCCCCATTGTCTGTTTTGTGTTTAGTTTGTTGCAGCCAGCTCCTCAGGTCTCTAAATGCCTTCTGGTTCCTCACGCTGATCAGGAAATCTGACACTAATCCACCCAATACACAAACATGGATTTGGACTGGATTTTATTTCACTCTCGTTTCCTTTTCCTCCTGCAGGTTAACTCAGGCACTTATTTGGTGTCCTTGTCCTTGTATTATTTATTGCACATTTTATGATCTGGTTTACACTTAAACACAAAATGTATCGCGGTTTAGGACTGGGCTGGAATTTCTTACATACAAACCTACAGAAGCTTTTGTCAAATCATAAATGTGTATTTCATCAATAAATGCCTTTTAAAAGTATATCTGCTGATTTATTTTCTTAATTAAATAGTTATAGGAAATGTCTGCTGCAGATTTTATGATGATATTTTGGGGGTTTTGGAATTTTTTTTTTTTTATTTTACCAGTAATGATGTAAAAAAAAATGAATTGTAAGTCAACAATAGTGTCTTCGTTGTACGGCACATGCGGCAGTAAAACCAACTAATCAAATATGCTGGAGCTCACCTGGGGTTGCTAGTTAACGGTGCAGTGTGACTTAACACTCTGAAGGTCTTTGAAACAACTCACTTTCTAAACATTAATTTATTTCCAAAATAAACAGCTGGGTGTTTTTCCAAGCTCTTGGGCTGGTTTTAGAAGCAATAGAAACCAAAATGGAAGAAAAAATATTTTAAAAATGTGAATTATGCATATTAGATTTCCTTTAAGATGCTCAGTGTCTCCAGAAAAGCCGAATTTTTGTCCACTAAAAGTCTTGCTCTCTTGTCCCCTGCCAGCCTTGATAAAGTTTTGACATATCAGAAATACATTTTATTTTTAGATACCCTCTTAAACCTCTGACTGAAATTTTTAAACACTCCACTGACCCTTAAAGCGAAAACTTAAATCTCAAAACACATTTTATTGACAGTGTGACCCGGATAAAATTTACTGTATTTAATAAATTATATAATTATCACAACATAGCTTTAAATTAAAATGATGTTGACGTAAGTTTGCTTTGATGAGCCAAATTTAAGTCTGGATCTGACTGAAAAAGTTTTTGTGCTTCCAAAGTGTCGTCCTCTATTTATACCAAATAAATGTATTTATACCAAATAAATAGAGGGCGGAATAAGGAAGGAATGATCCTTCCTTACAATGCAGAATAAAATCATGGTGAACATACTCCCACTAGGCAACTGTTGAGTGGTAGTAAGTTTTTATTTTACCAAAAAAAGAAACTATCAGCCTAAAGAAGGATTTGTCACCAGCAGATGCCTTTCAGCACAGCGACAGATGTTAAATGTCAGGCGTTTGGTGGCAAAGCCTCCAGTTTCCATCTGCTCACACTGCAGCTGCATCATCTGCTGGACTTCATCCTGCAAAGACAAACATTGGTGAAGTTTATTGTTAGAAACCTAATGCCAACTCAGTCAATGTAGGGGAAGCACTTTAAAAATGGCAGAGAAGTGTTTAAATGCAGCAAAACTTTCAATACAAACAATTAGTTACTTATGGAAGTAAAAGAAAGTGATTTAAAATTCCACTTGGGTCTCAGCTGCTTCTGTGAACAGCCCAAAGTGCTTTAAAAAAACACCCAGTTGTCATTTTGGCAATATGTTGACGTTTTTTGGGATCAGGAAAATTAGCCATTTCAAAAGCCCAAAGAGGCATTGCGCGTTTCCTAGCAACCCCGGCGGAGCCCAGCCCGTCACCTAGCAACCCAAGCTGAGATCCACTGTCTGGTTTTACTGTTTGGTTGTTGATTTACCATCCAGAAACCGCTTGCAAGATTCTTGTTGGTTGTGCAGGACGCTCCACTTCTGCTTTTCAGAGACGTATGATTGTATAATTGTCTGCAGTTATTTTTACGTGTGAGTGTTGAGCATGGCGACACGAGGCCCTAAAGCAGCTTGAAATGGGCAGAACTGAGCAGAAAAGTCTCAAAAGTCTCATGTTCTAAGAATAATTTTGGGCAAAAAATGTAATGAACGTGTTTTGTATACTGTACCTACCCTACCATAAATTGTGGAAGTTCTTAGTCGTAAGAACTGGTTTACTACACTTTGGAGAATATCAAGCTGTTTTTGTCTTCTTTAAAAGTGTTATTAAGGTTTTAAATATTTCACTTTTTATTTTTACAAATGTCCCAGTGATCCTTCTCATGAAAAGACAGACATTATTTAAAATCAGAGACTGCTCCTTTGCAGTTTTTATCAATCGTCGCTCGTAGAGGAATTATTCTCAGGAAACGACGGGAAGCGGCGAGATGTTTGTTTTCTCAGGACCATTAGATTGCAGCTATTTCAGTCGTCTTCTGTGGGCGGCGTGTTCAGATGTGTAAAATGAGAAGAGGGAAAATCACATTGTCGGCTCATTAACCAAGTCGGCCGTGCAGATAGAGGGGCTGGCGTTTTTGGTGTTTGTTGCTGGTGTTTTGCCACATGGCGTAGTTATTACACAGCAGGGGCAACAGGAATCAGATCCGCTGCTGTTCATCAACATGTGATGCTGAAATAATGGTGCTCGGATGATGTAACGGCGTGATTTCAAACCAGTTCAGGGTATTGACGAATAAAAAGCCATCTTTGTGGCCCTGGCAGTAATAACATGTTGCTCACATATAAACCTTTAATAAATAATATTTGTCATGTGAGCTGATTCACATTGATGTGGAAGAAAGATTTATTAATACTTTTGCAAGTATTAATAACTGTAAATTTATTTTACAAAATTACTTTTTTTGTAAAAGACAGTCCTGTCTTTTTATGCCATGAACATAACTCATTTTTTTTTTTTCATTGTTACATATTGTATTTATTTATACATAGATGCATTTTATTTTTCCTATATGATTGTATTTCACAAGTTCATGACCAGCTGATGAAGGATTGGACTCTGGATTATATTTGCATAGAGAGTTAAAAAAAAAAAAAAACAAAAAAAAAAACATTTACGTGTAAATGAGTCTAAGCCTTTGAGAATATATTCTACCTCCAAATGGGGCCTTTGAATTATAGGAAGAGCTGAAAAGCATTGCAGAGCGGTAGAGGTGTAAACCTCCTGACTTTTATTGATGCGTTTCTTCTTATTTATTTCTTTTCATTTACTTCCAATCCACACCCTTCATGGGTTTGCTGATACCGTTGCTTCAGGTTATTACTCCTCTGTATTGCAGGTCAGAGAAAGCAGCGGGGAAATAAAGGTCAATAGCTCATGACAAAAATGTGGCAATAAAAATACTTTCTTTTCTTATACAGAGAAAGCTCTTCTGGAGGCTCGAAGAACAAAAAGAAGTTTTTTTCTTTTAGTCATTTAAAAAATATACGGTTTGAATTTTGTATGTGATTGTAACAATAGCAACACTGAGTGACTTTCCATTGTTATTTCAAACATTGGAAAGTCAATGAAAGCAAATGTTGGAGTTTATAACGTGTGCAAGTAAGTTTTTGAGTAATTTTGACATTTTGCATTTAATTTTGGGTCATAAAATCTAGTTGAAATGTTTCCCCTGCTGAGTCTCAGCGTTGGGTTTATCGTCTACTTCCCTTCCAATAACCTGCTACTTATAATAGACTTTGACGGGTTTGAGTGGAGATAATAAAACTTAAATCTAAATTCTACTGCTGTGCACCTCTGCATGTGTATTTATCACATAGTTTGGCTGCATTGCATGTTTTCATTGCATTGTCTTATGTATTTTTGCATAAATTTATGTGCATGTTTCAGTTTTATTGTTTGATCTTTGTTTCCCCTTGACAATCCATTGAATCATATTAGTGAAGATTTGATAACCAATAGTAGTTAAAAGGGAAATTAGATTTTCTACAGTAATGATACAGACCTTTGGTCACATAAAGGACTAGAAGTAGAATGTGATGATTATTCTGTTTACAATGTTTAATATCAGCCTAGGAATGCAAATTTCCCCAAAATTTCAGATTTAAAACACATTTGAAGTACAAATCTTACAATTAAACCTACAAGCATGATTTTGGAATAATGTAAACATCTTTTAATGCTTTTTCAAGTGAAATATATATAATTTCAATTAAATCTATGGGGGAAGTTAAAGATTAGGGTGATGGCGTGTCTACCTCAAACACGTAGAGCTCATAATAAAAGATAATTGATCATATTGTTAGTAGAAACTTGCAAAAAGTATTAGGGACACACTAAGAAAATAAAAATGATAAATAAATTGTGAGAATAAAGTCATAAAATTACAACTTTAGAAATAAGTCCCAATCTGTTATGAATGTGACATTTTTATCTTCATTTGTTAAATATGTCATTTTGAAAACTAGATCATTGTAGTTATTAGGCTGTCAGCTAAAATAAAGCCTTAGAGGGCTACGACACTGAAGGTGTGTGGGAGAGGTTTGTTATTGAGGGTTTCTTTATTCATGCTTTTCTGTTTTATTACCATTTTTCTTGTATTTGCAGTTTAGCTCACGAAGCTCGAGCTTGACGTTATGCAGCTGCATACAAAAAACATACAAAGACTCCCACGTAATGCTGTGACTCATCAGATTAGTTTAACTTAAGAAATGAGACTTTTCCTCTCAAACTTTGAGAATATTCTTATAAAAATGCAAACAGAAGAATCAGCTGTGTGCAGCAGGGTTATGACGGGTTTGAGTTTTTCATTACAGTTAGTTTTTACAATGTGTTGGCTATATTTTATTGGTTAAATATTGCTTGGTTCTAGTTTGTAGTAGTTTTACTGATTATAGTGTTTTCTCCCATTTTTTTCTGTCCCCATGAATCTGCATAAGTCAGGCGGATTATGCAGTGTCGTAATTTGCCGACAGCAGACGTAAACTGCTTGTGTGGGGAAAAGAAAATAAATTTTACATCAGTTTGAAAGGCTAATAAATAGATTAATAAACACAAAAAGGAAGAATATTACTTGTATGATGACAGTATACATTTTAAATACATTTGATTTATTTCAGCTAATGAAACTATTTTGTTATTTTGTTTGTTTTTGTTAACTATAATAACCTTGTCGTGCAGAGATATAAAATCGACTGGCTTTGATCCTTAAGAGACTACAGATGGTGAAAAACATTGACCTGGAAGTAATAAGAGTTAGAGGGGCAGACCACATCCTGTTGACCTCAGTCCCAATGAAAAACATGTATTACACACATATTATGAAGGAAAGAATAGCTTTGTTTGCCTTTGAACCAATTATCAGTAGCACAGAGTTGTTCACAGGAGCAAAGCTGTGTGAATCTGTGTAAACATTAGTATTTTCCCTGAGGCTGATGTCGACAGAACATGAGCAAACCAACCTCTAACGGCGCCGA